ACTCTTTTATCATTCCCACTCGTATGCTTCCCTACATCAGTTGGTATCAGCAGTCAGTACGATTTGCGATGTTGCCGGGACGAGAAGATACCGCAAATAAACAACGTGATGCAACCTTCAACGATCAGTTTCAACAGATTGACTACTGATTTGAAGAGTTGGACGTGCGTTTCACGAATTGTTTTGCCGGTCCTTCGACGATCGAGGATTTGCATTTGACGCTTAACAACGAAGTTGCTTCGGAATTGCAAACGAACCGCGATGAAGCTGTGGGTCGTGGCTTTCGCGGGGGAGACAGAGGCGGTTGTGGGGGGACGCAGCTATGTCGGGCGCCCCGACAGCGGTCCCCGCCACCTTTGAACGGCATCGAGGATGGCGACTTCGCCGGCGGATATCGTGCCTGACACAATTGGAGACTTGATCGCGAATATGATCAATGAGAGGGCCCGTTTCGCGTTGACATCCCCGAATTCGATAAATAGCAAGTTGACGGGCCATTGTACGATGGTCCGCCTGTGTTTGATGAAGGATTCGAAGAGGTGGAGAACGTCTTACCGACGAAGTGGACGATCTCTACTACGGTCTGCCGATTTTCGATGAGGAGCCGTCGGGGCTAGAAGAATTCCATCATGTTCCGGGTACTAAGATCCATTTGCTAGAAGAATTGGTAGTTCTTTTGTTGCGCATGCCCGAATTTTTCTCCCACGGGAATTTATTGCGACCTTGCAAACAAATGTTGTTTTTTGGTCCCCACGATGACTTCAATATTCTGTGTGTGGCTGATGCATATGTCTTTCCATGAATTTCAAGGGGGTGATACCATGGAAGTGAGACATTCAACATTCGTGTTCGATAGGAGGAAACGCCCGGGCTATCCTGTCATGGGGACGTCTCCAACGGGAACGTGTCGGATTCGAGGGCAAATCATGTTCAACCGAGAATGATGCAGAATAATAATTATTATTATTATTACTATTACTATTATTATTTTTATTATTATTATTATTATTATTATTAGTTAACTTGGAGAATAAGATAGAATTTAGTTTAAGAGCCTTATTTAGAACATCTACAATGCATTGGATCTAGTCTTGCCTATGTGGCATGTAAATAAACCCCAAGTCTTGGATGACATGGATAAAAGTATGTAGAATTAATAAAACTTACTCTAATGCAACGAGACTAGGTCTCTACTTGGGTCTAAAATAGACATAAGGGTAGACCGGGTCTCTTTTTCTGGCTGCCACATCATCAGGACCCAGTTTACTTTTGTTTGCATTGGAAAATACATTTTTATAGACTAAGTCATTTCTTATGTGTCATACAATTTTTTGTGATTGAACCTTAAGCATTGTGGATGCTCTAAATAGGATTGTTGTGTTTTGTTATTAAAGGGTTGATTATGAATGAATAAGAGATATTGTTGAGTTTTACGAGAAAGTATCTCGTATATCTTTCCCAGTCATAAACTTTCCCCTACATCAATTTGGAAACCTCAAAAAGACTGACAGGGCAAGAACTCAAATTACTTAAAATATTGAAAAATACTACTACATAATAAATGTACATAGTGTACATAACACTCACATGGAGTGAAGTCCACTTAATTTTTTATTGAAAAATGCTACAAGTACATAATAAATGTACATAGAGGTGTACATAACACTCACATGAACTGAGGTCCACTTGATTTTTTTTTTGGTGAGTTCCACTAAATGTGAGTGTTATATACATCTCTATTTACAATATTATATACTTACTACTTATAGCATTTCTGGTTTTTATTTTTGGTAAGACCCACTTAATGTAAATGTTATGTACACCTCTATGTACACTATTATGTAACTATAGCATTACTCTAAAATATTTATATCCTTATCAGTTGTACATGCTTAGCCCTTGAAGCTGTTGTTACTTCCACTTGTAGCCATGAAGCATGAATGACATTGTAATTTTCTTGTTTAGCTGTAATGTTGATAATCGAGCCCTTTGAAGATAAATATTAAATACATCTATTGTGTCGAAAACAGAAAAGATTGAGAGAATAATGTAAATAAAGATAAGTGAAGTAAATAGCTCTCTTTGATATGCATTACAACTTTTGCATTCTCCAATATCCAAATTTCAATCTAAAAAAGAAAAAAAAAAAAAAAGATAGAGAACCAGCAGCCACACGAATACATCACTTGCTGCAGAAAAAATAAAAATAAAAAAAAATTAGGGGACCAACCATAGTTTTTAAACCCGGCCCGGTAATCGACCCGGGGAGGTCTTCGGATCACCGGGTCACCGGTTCAACCGTCAGGTCACCGAATCAATTGCTGAATCGGATAATTAATTTTAAAATTTATAAAATTATATATAAAGTATTTTGTGATATATAAATATACATAAAAATAACAAATTTAAATATTTTGTATGTAAAATTTGTAGATTCAAGTGGTAATAATATGTATATATTTATCATATAAATATATACATAATTTTATTTTTTAAAAAGAAAAAGAAAATTAAAAAACAAAAAAAAATAAAAAAATACATATAGACCAGGTCAACCGGGTTGATCCAGCCGGGTCAATGCCCCGGGTCGACCGGGTCAAGGCCGGGTCGACCGGGTTTTGACCGGGTTTGACCGGGTCCGTTGCTGCCCGGTCCAATTAACCCACCCGGACCGGTTCCGGCTCCGGGTCGACCGGGTCCCGGGTCGACCCGCCGGGCCGGTCCGGGTCACAAAACACTGGGACCAACAACTTAAGTCAAGACCCAGAGCCAACTCATTCAACTAAGGCCTTAAGGCTAATAACAGTAACACAATATACATAACTCAAGCTTCTATGTGTGTAGTAGATCTGCCACTCATGTATGATTGTATCGTTCAGGACATGGTCATCACTATTGCTATCAAATGTAACCAGTCATGTTAGAAAAAAGAACAAAAAAAGGTGTGTCAAACGGGGCATAACGAATGCGGCCCCACAGAGGCGAAACGCACCAAGTGAGATTCCTTCACAAAATCATGGGAAAGTAGCCAACTAGACTTATAAGCTATGTTCATTAGCCTATGAAAAGGAAGATATGTTTGTAATGAATTGCATGCATCTAACAATTTCGATTAAGTAGATGAATGACCTTACATAGAACAAGGAAATGAATGAATTTCAGCCAAGGAGATGATTGAAAACAAGAAAATTAATGAATTGGAGAAGAATAATCTAGACATAAACTATTAATAGATAAGTTGGTTTTTTGCCCATCACTACCAATCAACTATATCCTAGACTGGTGTTCCAAAATGCAAAAATTACCTACATTGTCAAATCTTTGAAAACATTGATGCAAAATGAGTATCCATATCATACATCAGATCTATATGAAGCCCAACTAAACAAATTATCAATCAAATTGTTATAATAGACAAAAACTATGCATCAATATAAATTGATAAAAAAACCAAAAAAATTATTAAATGAAATAGCTTTTTCATATTTAAAAATATTATTTTAATTTATAAAAATATGCAACAAAAAATTTTACATGGTGAAACACAAGGTCTTAAACAGACAACCAAACTGAAACACATTCTTAAACACAGAGCAATAAAAAAGTGTATACACTATTACAAATAATAGTGTCAGAGAACTTGCAAATTTCTATGTGAAAAATTGAAATACGGCCTCAGATAGTCGATCTAACATCAAATTTTGTTCAGTCGGTAATTCCAGATAAACAAATCAATCCTCACAGACCTCCAAACTAAAACAATAAGGAATTAACTATTGAGAAAAAACAAAATGTAATCGCACAAAACGGCTCCGTGGATGAACGGAATAACAATCAGTCCACAGATTCCTATCAAAATGCGAAACACGAATCGATTTAGGTCCAATCATGGACACCGCCGGTCATTACCGGAAGGCTACCGGCGACGTGGCATTGAACCGCACAAAGGTCATCAAATGTCAACTAAATCAGCAGAATTCTTAAGAAGCACATAATTTTCAGAAAAAAGGAAAATTGAAAAAGTTGAATCGAAACCTCAGAGACCCGTTCAAAATCACACACGCAGCTCGCCGGAAGCTACACGATCCCGACCGGCGTACAAGGTTTTGCCACAGAGACAAAAGCATGGCGCCGGTGGATGGGAAAGGTGGAGACGACGACGACGAAAAACGCTGCGTTTAGAGAGTGTCATACGGCACTTCCTATGCTTTGGGAATTCTTCCTCATCGGCGTTTTCTAAAGACATCAATTCACAAAATAAATAAATAAATAAATAAACACTAAGGAAACGATTCAGGGCGGCGAGCGGCGTAGATAAGCGGCGGAGGATCGATAGATCCGCCGGCCAGCGGTCTGGGAAAATAGAAAGGAGATGAAAGTGTTTTGAATTTGGAGGGTGACACCGCTTTAAAGCTAAAATTGGGGATTAATTGCGGCGCCGAAAGCTAGGGTTTGGAGATTTTATATGGCGTTTGGGCCTTTAAGGAGGTATACAATGAGTGGGCTAAATTTATTTCCAAAATATTCGGCAAAGGTTAACCTTTACCTAATAGCAGTTATGAGGCCCAATCTTGTTGACATGTTCATCATCATGAATGAAAAAATAATTTTTTTTTGTTTCATTTGTACATTTATAAATTTTAATAAGTGTATACATTATTAAATTTCACATAAAGTAGTAGATATAAGAGGACTAAGAGCATGTTACTCAAGCAACATAAAGTAGTTTATAGGCTACTTAGATGGATAATAAAGTTTTATGTACTTTGTATGGTAGAATGAACATTTTTTTTTTTCACGTAATCTCAGACGTTTATTGAGGTCACGTTTAAAAAGAATCTTATTCAAATTTTTATTTCTACCAACTTATCGATTAATTTTACTAAACACTTTTAATTTATCATCTAGGTTTCAGCCATCAATCACAAACTATCACCTCAAAAATAACTAATTAACTATTAGACTAAATTATCATCTAGGTCTTCAGTTAGATCAACCACATGTACCTTTTGACGAATTTATTAAAATCATGCTCGCCAACCGGGGAATTCGCCATTTCGGTGACTACAATCTCACGGTAAGTTGTTGGTCAAGTAAAACTACTAATTACACATTTACACTGAACTGTGGAAAGGAATTACAACAAATAAAATGATACCTCATTTGGGACCAACAAAAAGAAGGAACTCACAGCAGCCATATTTGGTTACTTGATGTATCACCAAGAAAGACATTTTAATCCAAATATTGATTCATATAACAGTAATAAAAAAAAATGAAAATACAGTAATCCAACTATTCACCCCTGCTGTGATAATAAGTAGTTTTTTCAATCTTGTTCAAACAGCTATATTACTATTGGGCGAAGTTTAACAAGTCACCTAGGCAACTCGAGGTCTGGTCGTTGATCAAGGGTCTTGATCGTTGAATTATCAGGAAAAGCATCTGGATAGGTTGCCATGATCTTTCCCTTTAGGGTCCTGTGTAAATGAAATTCCCAAAATCATAAACATGCAAATCGATTTTAACTTTTCTTTTTTTTTTCTTTCTTCAAATGCAACAAGATGTAATACAAACAAGGCAAAAAGATGAATTTCGTAACTAACACAATAAACACGGTTTCTGCGAAACGGAAGAAAAAGTTTAATAGTGGCATGATTCACTGAGAATGCTTTTCCTTTTATAATTTCTTCAACTGAATTCCGCCTAATAGGATCATATACAACTCGAGATTTTACACACTATCAAATAAAAAAAGATACCTCATAACCACTCCTAAAGATGCAACATAATCACTCCAAACAAAATGGATTAGAATTGTTAAACACCAAAATATCTACACCTACAAGAAAGAAGAACGATCTCATCCCATCCCACGTGGCAAGACATATAAGGCTTGTTTGCTTTCTTGCACAGGATAGGACAATTTAGGGGCTTTTGTAGGATTAACATTGTACACTTATATCCTTTGAAATGTTGACATGGTAGGATGGATCATTTTTTGAGTTAGTAATTTAATCAAGTCTCAACGTTTCTTTACCTAGATTATATAGGATAATAAGTAAACGTCTCAAACGCCCACAACAACCTATTACATGGTTGCATCTTTTAAGGATAAAACTATGTAAATCTTCCCCATTTGATGGGCTTATCAACATATCGTCGGATTCTATCGTCGCAAACGATTTACCGTGCAAATAAATGAAGGAAATATAGTGATATTCACCCAAAACATATCATAACACAAGTAGTAAATCATAAATGAGCCCATACAGTATAAAGCATAAACTCAAGCACAATACAATAATGATTTAATTCCAACACAATATAAACAACAAAGGTATCAAACAACAAAAAAGGGGCATGAAAATCGGAGAAACCTTTCCAAACCTGAGCTTCAGGAAGATGTAATCAAGGTCAGATTTCATGGACTTCAAGAGGCGCGTGTGCTTGGCAAAATCCGGAGACACCTCTGCAAAGCAATTTTCTGAATACTCATTGAAATGGGACAATACTGCATTGCTATCTTGCAATCTCCCCAATCTGAACCATAATTTTCCTAAAAATTACAATTTTTGGCAGCTAAATTGCCGGATAAAAAGGCATAAATCTGAAATTCTGCACGAATTTGAGAGACTCAAATTTGCGGAAAAAAAAATGTACATAAATACATAGATTTTGTGTGTGGAGATTGTAGGCTTACATGAGGTTCTGTGATTGGCGGAGAGACTCCAAATCCTGGGAATCAACTAAGGTTTTGAACTCTCTTGAAAGTTCTTCAGCTGCCGATCTCATCGATTCGCTTTTGGAATCCGCCATTTTCACGATTTCTGAGTTCTGAGCTGGTGGTGGCTGCGTTCATGGCGAATGTTGGGACTTTTTAGTTTGGGCTGATTTAATTTAAAGTTGGGCCTTATAAGAATTGGACTGGGCAAGGACGGTGTGGACGGTTGCAATCTTGAGTACGGTTTAGTTTCTAGCCCATAAGAAGTTGCAGCATGCATGAATTGCGTTATTTTGGCAACTCTTCTACTCCTACAATTTGGCAACACATTTTAAAGTTTTATCATTTTTTTCTTTTAATAATAGAAGGTTTATTCTTGAAATTTCCAACCGGCCCTCCTGGGCAGGCGTCCGTCGTGCGCCTCTTTCCCGATCATGGCTAGACCTGTGTCGACGGTTCCCTTCTCGGTTCACTTGAGTGCTTTGGAGTGGGATTTGGTCGGGTTCTCCACTTGCTCTTTTTTGGTCAGGGACGGGACTGGGGGTTGAGGCTCTTACTGGCGAATTGAAACCTATCGAGTGGTCATCCATAGTATTGGTTCTCAAACCGACTGGTTAATCCTCTTATTTTTTCTTTTAAAAATTTTTTTTTTTCAAAAAGAATATTTAAATATATTAAAAAATAGTAGATTTCAATATATTGGATATGTACAACTCATTACAACATTTGTTCAGCATTTAAATTTACAAATTATTCTTCAGCCTCACGATATTCCTCTCCGCCAGGGGCGGAGCCAGGATTTGAAATCTACCGGGGCTAGAATAACTTAGATTAAAAAACGTTATTTTGAGAGCTTTGCCGCCCTTGTGGTCCTACCCGGCTCGATTCCGGATTAGCCCCTGTGGATCCGGAAATCGGAAGGTCCCTGTACCAAAAAAAAAAAAATGTTATTTTGAATTATCTTTTACTAGCATGATTTAATATTTCAAATTATCAAGCCTTTATTTAAAATTACTATTAATAAAAGTAATACACACAAAAAGACAACCATGTACTTAATGTGAAACGGATAAATTAATAACTAAACTCTAAAAATGTAATTTTATGTAGATAAATAATAATATGTATATCTTCAAATAATGTTTATTAAATAAGCCCTAAAATAATCTTTTTTATGTCAAAATAACCTTATAACAATGGATATATCAATAATATAATTTATGTTGAAATGATTCCTACGAAAATTTCAACGTTTCTATTGGATTTATAGGTGGAATGTGATGGTTCCAACGACTATTTTGTGATTTGTATAAATACTGAAATCATTTCAACAGAAACTCCAACGTTTCCATAAGAGTTTTAGATGGGATGTGATAGTTCTAACGACTATTTTCTTAACGGTTTTTTTAATATTGGAATATGCAATTTCCATTGATATTTTGATTTCCATCTATATTTCAACAGTCGAAAAAATCTACTGTTGGAATTTTCATAATCGCCAACAAAAATTCCAAAGAAAATCTCATTCCAACGATTAGTTTTGTTGGAATTTCCATTTGAATCTGTTGAAAATTTTCAACGAAAATAATAGTAATGGAATGTCCATTGCAATTGTCGTTTAAGTTCCATTGAAATATATTTTCGTTGGAATTTTGTGTTGCAGTTTCATAATTTTCTTATAGTGTGTATTTGGTAATAATAGGTAATAAATAGCATTAAAAAAAATATCTTTTTACATTCAATATGAATGTTTATTTGTAGATTATAAAAAAAAAAATTGATTTTAACTCATAAGATATGTATAAAATGTGGACAAAAGAATACGTATACATAAGCTAAATTAAAGAACATTCTTTTCACAATATATTTCTAAGAAATAGATTTCTCACCAAAATTTCCCAAAAGACAAAAAAAAAAGCACATTCAAACACCAAATGAATAATTTCATAAATTGATTAGATGATCATTCAAAAATATGATGTGTGTTATTTATTTGTCTTGTTGGACTTACTTTAAGTTTTTAATTATTTGGGCATACAGGCATAGAAACAAAAAGTAGGCTACTAATATTAATTGACTTCATTTTTACCTACAATGTTCAAAATTTTTCAAACTTTTACCCGGGCTACAGCCCAGGTGTCTTTTAATGTGCCTCCGCCCTTGCTCTCCGCCTTCGTACCCTTATACAGATGGACCAAATGAGATACCCATCGTTCAAATTTGGGTAGATGGCCTCACCTTGGTGCCCTGCTCCCTCGACATGCTTTTTGCCTGGACTCCTTTCGTACTAGGATCAAATTTTTTGGTATTATTTGTTGTTGTTGTTGCTTTCTTTTTCTTGTTTCTGTCTATTTTCGTTTATTTGGACTGTTTTTTTTTTTGGACATTAAACTGTAGATTTGTGAATTTTTAGCCTATGTAGGGCCTTTTATATATACAGGTTGGGGATTCGGCCTTAACCCCCACCCTCCCAGGGTGGTGTTGTAAAATAATAACAATAATAATTTTAGGGTTAGTAAAATTTGTTTTTTTAAGTGTTTACAAAACATTTCTGTATTTTTTAATTAATTCAAAATAAATATAAATACTAAATAATACGTTAATTATAATTTCTTAACTATATAAATTCATAATTTATTGTTCTTTCTAGAAATATATTTCGTCAAGCTATTTGACTAAGAAAATTTTATATTTCAATCACTTGAATATTAATCCTGAATTTTAATTAATTTTCACGAGTGTATTATTTTTAAAATATTTTTATAAGATTTATAGTTTTTTGAACGGCTCAAAGTTGATTTCATAAATATTTAATATTTAGACATATTTAAAATAACAAATAATATTATTAATTATAATAATAACAGTTAAATTCATTAATTATAATTTAAATATTTAGAGTGTTACATAGAAAAATATCCTAGTTCCAACTTAAGCACTCTTGAATACAAAAATAATAATTGTTAATTACGTGAAATGTTGTCATTGATAAAACAAGGTAGGAACTCACAGTTTTATCTGTGTGCAGTTCTATTTTTAATTTGTTGTTTTTTTTGTTTTGCTTTAATTTAATTTTATTGTGGGTAAAGTTTTTGGCCGTCATATGTTTTTTTTAGTTACAATAAAAGGAGGCCTAGGCCGAACTAACGCTAAATCAAAACACGACGGGAGTAAGTCACCCCAATAACATAATGTTCAAACCACCTGAGGTGGCGAGACATGTTGTCGATGCATCCCTAGAGGTTCGGATGCCACTAAAGAAGCCAAGTGATCCGCAGTAAAATTTGCTTTCAGAAACAGATGATCCAATTGCACCGACCAATCGCGATCCCGCAATACTCGTATAGCCCGAACAAGACTGTCGTGGGTCCCACCTACGTCCTCGCGCCCTATAACCAAAGTAAGCACGCTACTATTGTCCACTTCCGCCACCACTTTCCTCGCGCTCAAACACATGCGAGACATAGCCCGTGAAAGAGACCCCACAGTTCAGCTCCGATAATCGAACAAATACCAGCATTGATCATAAATCCCCCGAGCTAAGGGCCATGGGAGTCGCGAACCAAACTTCCTGCACTCCCGCAGCCCATGTGGGTGAAAACGCCCCATCTGTTAACCTTAACCTAGTCCGGCGGCCGTCATATGCCTTTTAAGTATATCATTAAGAAGATTAGGGCTGGGCAAAAAATTCGAACCGAACCGCTGAATCGTAGATCCGAATCGAAATCGAACCGAATTTTCGGTTAACCGGGGGACTCGGTTCGGTTACAAATACCTCAAATGAAGTATTTGATCGGTTCGGTTCGGTTACGGTGTTTAAGATTTTTTTACCCCGGTTAACCGAACCGAACCGTATATTATATTAAAATTTATAAAATATATATTATATTATATATTATATATTATAAAATATATATTTTATTAAAATATATATTATATTATATATTATATATTATAAAATATATATCTTATTAAAATATATATTATATTATATTATATATTATATATTATATATTATATTTATATTAATGTTTTCGGTTCGGTTCGGTTCGGTTCGGTTTATTATTTGCGAACAAGCAGATTTGTGTTAGGTTCGCTCGGTTCGGTTCGGTTCGGTTAATTCGCGAATAGTAGGATTTTTTTCGGTTAACCGAAAATTCGGTTAACCGAGATTTTCGGTTCGGTTTCGGTTAGCGAGTTCGAATATTTGCTCGGTTCGGTTCGGTTATCAAATACCTCAAAAAGTTCGGTTAACCGAACCGTGCCCACCCCTAAAGAAGATAATAAGTTCTCTACTGATTAAATACACAATGCAGGGCCCCTTTATCCGAGGAGGAGAAGTATAATTAATAAGAAAGTTAAAATAATGTTTTTTACCAAGGTATAAGTTTCTTTCTTTCATTTGTTTTTTTTTTTTTTTTACGGAGATCAACTTTTTCACTCAAACAGGTACAACACATGCAATAAATTATGCGATAATTAGACGTCGATTATGATTAAGTGCGAATCATTATGAGATAAATTATACAACAATTAGGGAACAAATATAAGCGTAAACATTATGCGGCAGAGATGAATATGCACAAATTCGACGAACAATTCAGTCAATCACGGGTTCGTCGTCCTGTAGTCACAGACAAGTATATTTTAAACAATTATTCTTTTTATGCGAATGAACCTTCTACTCTTAGGCGAAAATAAAAGCGATCATAACTCTTATCATATCATTGACAGCCACAATTTGTCACACATGAAACATTAATGAAATTCAGAAATTCCCTAAACTTGCAACCAAAGAAGAAACATTAAGTAAAATAGTAACATATTGCATTAAAAGAAACCGCAATCAATAAACAGGCAGTCAAGTTCGAACAAAAATAGGCTAAAGGACCATTATGCATAGCTAATAAGACCTCCACAAATGACACAGCAATATGACATTCGAACAAAGAAACATGCCACTAGACCATAGGTTTAGTGGAAAGGGGAGCGTTACCATAGGGGTAAACCCGCACGTTAAATGAGTCATCATGGATGCCGAGATTACTCAAGCTGCGGGTCTCACAATCGTAAAGCAGCAGGTCACCATTGGAGC